GTCCATTGGGATACCATATGTGATTGATCATAATTTTTTTTTATATCGTTTAATTGTATCCATATTACTCTAATTAAAGTTGCGCTTTTGTTATAAATATACAATTTTACAAATCAAACATTAATACTTGAATTTCGAAAATCATCATTTTTATTTTTGATTATTACTTAAAAAAAAATATTTAAAAATATTTACATACTAAGGCGATATTTTTTTGGATTTGGTGAGCTCGAATAAGTTTGAAAGAACCATAATCTTATATTAAAGATGCTTACATTCAATCTAAGAGTCAAATGAAATTTTGTAAGATAAAATATGTTTATTTATATGGAAGATATATCATTTGATATTCGTTGTTTATAATTTCTCCCGTATATTATAAAAATTTTTGATTTTGATTTTTAAATATTCTAATCCCGCGTTTGACGCGGGACCAAAATCTAATTTATATATTAATGCATAAACTATAGTGTTACAACAGAAAATTATACCACTCCCTTATCTACTCCCTTGTGACATAAGGTATAGTTCATGTCTAAACATAACCATCCGTAAAACCAATCACAAGGCCAAAAAATCAAGCAAGAAGAAGAAACACTAATTAGAGGCTTAAACATTCTCATTGTCAAACACTTCTTTTAGCCAAGAAGGGGATCCTCTTGCAACATATGTATGCCGCCGATCATCCCGAATTGCACTATGAGCAATGAGATGTACACCTCTATTCATTGCAGCTTCCTCCACTTGTAGTCTCCAATCTTTGAAAACTCGTAAAAGTTTAACAAGTGACGCTGCATGGGAAACAAAAGATAGCCAAGCACGAGGCCTCAATATTGCTCCTAAAAGCTTAGAGTCTTGTGTGTAATTGTTAGTTATATGTCTGATTTTTTTTTTAAAGAAACCAAACAGAGGAAAACAGAGCATGATTTAGAACTTTTCCTTGATTTATTTTTCAAACTCCAGTCTCGAGCTAAGGCTTCACTAATTTATTACCCTTTACCGCCAGAATAATAGTATATAAGATCTATCCGGACACTGGAAAAGCCCTAAGACAAATCATCTTATAATCTCCGATTTAATAATTGCTTCTGCGCGCTAGAAGCTATTTAATGAAATTTTGAATATTGATCATGCCAGTAATAAAATCATCTCTTATGAATACGATAATAAAAAGTCATTTAAAATTGGTAAGAACC